CTCCTGGAACTCCTCGCCGAAGACGCTCGGGTCCGGGAAGTCCAGCAGGTTGACTCCGAGGTGGCCGCATGCCGTGTCGATGAGCTTGTAACCGTACACGCCGAGCTTGGTGAAGTCCTCGATCTTCTTCTCAACGTCGATCACGGTGCCGAGCCTCTGCTGTGAGCCTCGGCGGATGAGCAGGGGTGCGTCCTAGTCGAGCTCCGCCGACTCCAGCGCGAACGGCTGGCCGCCGATCCCTGCAGGCACGCTGTACACCGTGTCCGACCTAGCTCCTCCACCGACGACTCGGAAGGTAGCGTTCTTGGAGCGTGGGTCCGTCTTCAAGCTCTTCTCGTGCAAGGCCTGCTCGTAGCTGATCCTCCAGGGTTTGCCGTGCATCGTGGCCTGGCACGCCGTGTCCAGAACTGCCACTCCCGGTGGGTCCTTTCTCCTCGTAGCGCACACGTCGACCTCGTCGGGCACGGGGTCGATCATCAGGACCTTGAAGCCCAGCACGCCCCTATCCTGCTCCTGCTGCGCCTCGGTGGCGCTGTCCGCACTCCACTCGCCGATCGCCGAGAGCCAGATCAGGTACCAGGCGAGCCGGTACTGGTCGAGCCTGAGCTTGCCGCCCGGCGCCTCCTGACCCATGGACCTCTTGATGATGTTGACGCCGTAGGCCACCGCGGACGTCCTCTCAGCGAACTCGGCGAACGTGAAGCCTGAGTACTTGCCAGTCTTGATCTTCTCGATGCCCTTCGGCGGGTCCTCGACGTTGAGGCCGTCCACGTCCTGGTCGAAGTCCGCCGGGTACGCCACGTAGATCTCGTCGTCCTCCGCCTCGTGCTCCTCGACCTCCGCGTCGGGGCTCACGGCCTCGCCGCCGCCCTCGGGCTCCTCCTCCAGGTCGGACCCGGGGACCTCGATATCCTCCGCCGTGCGCTGGGTCCTCGGTGCTGCCGATCTCGACGAGCTCGCCTCTCCCGCGCCAACTCGGACGAGACGAGGGCGCTGCCTCAGCCCAGTTGCCGACCGTCGCGTCGTCCGGCGCCCGTCGTAGAACCTGCGCCCTCTCGGCGCGAAGAGCAGCGAGCACACCATGAACCTCCAAAGTCCTTGCCCGTCCTTTCGCCCAGATCCGGGCCGATAGGCCTTGGTGACGTGGATGCCGTTCTCGTCGCACATATGGCACGTCAGGTAGCGCGTGATCCCGTTGGCGCCCTTGAAGAGCCTCGGGTCCGCGTCGAGGGCGTGCTCGCAGGGAACGCTCATGACAGACAGGGGCGGACGGCTCCGTCTCAGTGGCGGTTCGTAAATGATGTCAATCGCCATCGTCCTCGGATCCGCCTTCGGCTTCGACTTGGGCTTGGGTCGAGCCTTGGGCCGAGCTCCGAGACCACTGACCGAGGACACGTACACGCTCTTGACGTCACCGCCGTCGCCGCTGTAGTCCGTCACGCTGAAGTAGCTGGCCTTCGGCCTGTCCGAGTGGGGCTGCGATGACCTCGATGACTTCGGGCAACTCGCATCGCCATGCCAATGTCCGATCTGTCCACAGCTCGCGCAGCGAGTCGTCTTCTTCAGCTCGTCAATGCGCGCGCGTCGCCCAGGGTTCTCGCCTGGGCTGCCCCTGCCACGGACCGCCGGCCTGTCCCTCGAGCTCGCCGCTGACTGCGACCGATCTCCTCGACCGCGTCCTCGGCTGCGTCCTCGACCGCTGCCCTTGCCGTGGAACTTCTGCTTGCGCTGAATGATGGCCGCGAAGCTCTCGAGCGCCTCGTCGTCCATCTGCTCTATCTCATCAAGCGTCGCCTCGTCCTCGCCAAGGCAGTTCTCGCACGTGTCATCTCCGTTGATGGACTGGGCGCCCTGGCTGTTCGAGGCGGCGTCGTCGTCTTCGTACTCTCCATCCTCATAGATGCCGGCCTGCCACGCCGACTTGTGCTGGTGGTGTCCGTGATGCTGCCGTCGTTGACCGAACCGCTGAGGTCGCGGGTCCGGCCTCTGGTCACTCTTGCCCTTCCACTCTCGCTCGTGGATGTTCGGATGCTGCATACGTAATGCCTTGCCGAATGCGTCCTTGTCGTACCTGTTGCCCGCGCTGCTGATGATGCTTGCGTGGTCGGACTTCTCGAGCCCAGAGAACTTCAGCAGCAGGTGGGCTTGCAGGTCGTTGCTGATGCTGGTCTCCTCGCTGACCTTCTTGAGGTCATCGAACGCCTTCGACCGTCTGGTGATAGACTCCTGCATGCTCTCGCCTGGTGACCTCCACACCGACTTGTCGCACAGCGCGCCATCGAACAGCTCAGCCGCCCGAACAAGTCTCTCCTTCAGCACGGACTCTCCCAGGGTGTTCAGCAATAACTCCAGTCCGACGGTGGTCGCCCTCTTCTTTTCGTAGCTGCCGCCGCCCTTGCCTCCGCTCTCGACGGTCTCCGTCTCGAAGGTGAGCAGCTGCTGGTGAGTGAGCGACCTGACCGCATCGTATGCTGCGCCCGAGAGACCGTTCCTGAGGTTGATGGGCGTCGCTATCTGCTTCTCATCGCCCATGCGCCCGAAGAAGGCGTCACGAGCTCGCTCTTGGTATTCCTCGAAGAGCGCAGGGTCACCGCCATACAGCGGGATGTCTTTCTCGAACTCCAGCTTCGATACTCTTGACATGGTCGCAGGTCGCAAATCTACACACCGCACTCGTAGCGCGGCTGCCGGAAGTAGTTGTAGGAGTCGCAGTGGAACTGCTGCACACCGCGCTTGGCGCGGCTGCCGGGTTGCCAGACACCGCCCAGGTAGTCCAGCTTGTGTGGGTACGCCAATTCCCCACGCCGTGGATGCCGGCCTGCTCCCCGCAGGCGGGCGCGCTGCCCCCGCCACGGGGCGCGCCAATGCAGACCTCCGCGCAGCTGCTGCGGAGGCGGGAGCTGGCCGGGGCGAGTGGGCCAGCTCCGCTACCATCAAGTAGCGGGCCGCCGCCCGCGATCGTTTCTGGTTCTCTGCGCCGTAAACTCAAGAGCTCTGTGAACCAAACGTCAGCGGTCTGAGCGGGTGAGAGGGGCAGCGGCACTGGCAGGCTGGAAAGGGGGACGATCGCAGATGCAATGCAACACCCGTCCTCGATCATCCAAGCTACATTGTTCGAGACCGATCGGTCGACCGCTCAAGCCAGCGTCCGTGAAACCGATCTCGGCGGAAGTGGCGCGGAAGCGCCGCGAGACAAGGTCGGAGATCCCGACCCGCACATGAAAGTAGCCTGCTGCATGCCATCACTCACCCTGGTACTGGTTCTGCTCTGAGCGTCGAGTCCCCGACGCTCGTTCGCACGCCTGTGGCGTGCCGCCCGTATCGCCTCCTTCGCAGATGCAATTCAACATCCTCCTCCTCCTCCCTATCCTCCTCCTCCTCCTCCTCCTTCTCCTCCTCCCCCTCCACCTTATTATCCTCCTCTTCCTCATCCTCCTCCTCCTCCTCATCATCATCCTCCTCCTCATCCTCATCCTCATCCTCATCCTGTTCCTCCTCCTCCTCCTCCTCCTCATACCCTTCGTCCTCCTCCTCCTACTCCGCCTCCTCCTACTCATCCTCCTCCTCGTCCTCCTCATCTTCCTCCTCCCTCCTCCTCCTCC